CGCTGCTGCCCTCCCTCTCGCCCTCTGGTTAGCGTTGACATTAGGATATGAAAATCTGCGATTTCGTGGGGGAACCGTGTCCAGCTGCTCAAGCCCACCCAGCTTCCATTTTTAGCTTCTCCCCTACTTAAAAATAGACAGCAACGGGTCGCACTTGCCAAGCCTTTGTCACAGTCCCCAGCAGCCATCCCTCCAGCCATCTGCTCCCCCAGATGCTCGCCTGGCTCCCCTCCCATCTCAGCTCCTCTGCGGACAGTCCAGGGGCCGAGCTCAGCAGCCTTCGGCTCTGCAGCACCACCTGCCCGCACCCCGCTCGTGTTCTCTGCCTCGTTCTAACCCACATGCTGCAGCCTGAACCCCAGGCACCAGCTTGCCGGCCTGGACAGTCTTGGTATTCTCAGGGACGGGATGTTGGCTGGAAAAAGGCAGGGGCCGTTTCTATGGAGATGTGAGTCAACATCTCCCCACCAGCAAGTGCAAACTAGTTTGGCAGAAGTTGGCTGAGTTCTGAGATTCACCTGGTTGGCTGCTGACCTCACCTGGGAAGTAGGTGTGTTAGAGACAGCCGGGAGGCTGCTGTTAAGTTCCCTTCGCCAATGCCTTTGGTCTGAAGCAGCTGGTTGAGCAAAGACACACCCCAGGCCTGAGCTTCCTGGTGTTTTGAGACACTCGTGTGATGAAGGCAAGTCCCCTACTGATGGGCGATGTCCTCCTGTATATATGTTTCTCTTATTGGTTGATGAGTAAAACCCTGTTTGGCCAATAGAGGCAGGAAGAGAGGCGGGACTAGGAGAATTCCGGGAAAGGTAGGCAGACAGAGAGACCATGAGGAGATGCCATGGAGATGCCAAAGGAGTAACAGGTCTTGGCATTCTCCAGTAAGCCAAGACCATGTGGAAATCCATAGATTTATAGAAATAAGACAGAGCTAGCCAATAAGAGGCCCTAGCCATCGGCTAACAGTTTAATAACTAATGTAGTGCCGGTGTGTTTATTTGGGGCAAGGTGTCTGTGAACGTAGCAGAACAGAAACCTCCGTCTTCACCCTGCCTTCCCTGAACCTGGAGGGTGGTGATACCAGCACGAAAGGAAACTGCAGCGGCTTGTTTCTCTGCTGTGTCTGAGATACCCACATGGGGACAGAGCGGGGACAGGGTGGTTCTCGCTAGCTTGTTCTCTCTCCACTCCCAGATGTCTGCTCCCAGCGTATTAACGCCACAGCGCTTTCTGTCTTCTGGGAACTGGCCACACCACAACTGTCTTTTCTTCCTGGTACATTTATGTTAATGAAACTCAAATTCTGTTTCTCAGTCACACTGATGTTATCTGATGAAGCAGGCAACCGGACTCTCATGGTCATGATTTGTGTTTCCTTGTTGTACGCGGATATTCCCGTCTCATTGACAAGTTAGTTCCTCCATATGAGTCCTCCAGGGCGTTTTCAAGCGTAGGAGGCAGGAGGGTGGAACTCTGAGCTGAGGAAGTGTCTCCGTTTGCACCGGATAGCTTGCATCCTAGACACAAGAGGCCGCAGGAGTGATTGCTATAGGATGTCAGAGACTGGGAAGGAAATGAATTGAAATAAGGACTTAGAACAATCTACTTATTGGTATAGCTGTCTGGACCAAGGGAATATACCCTGTTTTTTTTTTTTTTTTCCTCTTGGGACATCTAAGAACATTATTAATTAAAGCAAACAAACAAAACAAAATCCTCATAAACCAGTAGCTGAGACCCAGGTTCCAATATAGACACACGCCTAATGTCAGTTTCCACCTGTATCCATGGGCAATAACACTGATATCTGCACTTTTGATCTCACGGTTTGAGTTACTTGAATCAACTGTGGTCTGATTCCATGAAGTTACTACATGGAAAACTCCAGAAATAACTGATGCATAGGCTTAGACTGTTCAAAACTCCACGTGGCCTGAGGACCTCTTGAGCGCGACCCTACTTCTGTCTCACCCGATGGCCTTTCTCTCTCTCCAGGGTGTCCAGGCTGCATGAACTGTCCCCTCGCTTGTGACTCTGTACCCCTCTTGGTCATCAGGCTGACCGCAGGGCGTCTGAGCTCAAGCATCCCTTGTGTCATAGGCAGAGGCGACCTCTCAGTGTTGAAATAGCCCTCAGGAGTGAGCCAGGCCTGACTCTTCACCCTCCCTTGTCCCTCCTCTGCCCTCCCCCACGATCCACCCCAGCCCATCACAGCTGGCATGGAATCCTAATCAGGCAACATCTGTTTGCTTTTTTTTAAAAAGAGATTTTAGTGACTTCTCATAAAAGAAGAGCCTCCTTGAGCTTCACCAGGCTGTGCGCTGCCTGGGGGTTACAACGATAAAGGAGGAGGGGGGCTTTCAACTCCCTCCTAGGAGGTCGGGTTCAGGGTGGAGAGCAGGCTCGCTGGCTCCTGAGAAGTCAAAATCGTCACGGCAGCCCCTGTACCTCCAGGGAGTTATCTGGGCACATCCACACCGATCCAGGCAAGCCCATGGTTTCTTGACCTATTATTCCGAGCTCTTCATCCTCGTGCCCTCAACTCCCCCGTTGTTGCTAGCTGAGTCAGCGCTGCTCATAGAACATCGTCTTCTGCTTCAAAAACGCAGAAACCACAGCGGACGTGCGTTCTCGGAAGCGAGCGGCTGAGTAATGAGCACTTCCTTCTCCAGCGTCCTTCTCTGCCTTGTCTGACAACACCCCTGATCCTACTCACAGCCTCTGGGGGCCCTGGGAGCGGCTGGGTGTCATCGTGGGCTGGAGAGATTTCCAGGACGCATCCAGACAGCCAGCTCCACGCTGTCCTCCACGTGGGTTATTCGTGTAGGGGCCTCACTGCTGTGTGGTGACCGTAAAGACCCTGTGTAGTGTGGGAAGAGAATGAGGATGGTGTCAGGGAGATGTCCCTCTGTGCTTCTGGAACATTCCTGGGCTCACAGTAGAGACAAGGACCAGGCTGGGAATTGACTTCTCTAGAATGAGGGACCCTTGACCAAGTTACAGTCACAACAGGTCCCCACAGCCAGGCCCTTACCTTCCAGACCGGTCTCTGCCTGTGAGACTCACACAGGCTGTAGCCGTGGAGCCTCTGAATTCACAGCACAGCTGAAGCTGGAGGCCTCAGAGATCTGGAGGTTTCCAGAGAGCCGTTAGGACGTTATCTACTGACCTTCTAATTGTGGACACAGTTTCTGTCCTGTGCGGTCCCGCAGCTGTTTAGTCCCAAATAGACGCACAGAGGCTTATATCAATTATAGACTGTTTGGCTGATGGCTAAGACTTCTTATTGGCTGGCTTTGTCTTAATAATTAACCCATTTCTCTTAATTATGTGCCTCCACATGGTCTTGGCTTACCAGAGAGCACCCGGCCATCCTATCTTCCAGGTAGCTACATGGCATCTCTTCCCAGCATCCTCCTAGTTTGGTAGCCCTGCCTATACTTTCTGCCTGGATACATCCTGCCTGTCCATTGGCCAGAGCAGCTTTATTCATCAGCCAATAAGAGAAATATATATGTTCACAGCATACAGAAGGACATTCCCCCACCATCTAATTGCCTCTCCTCCCTGTGGAAGCATTTGCCAGAAACCCTGTGCTGTGTGTGGCTGCCGTGGCACTGCCCCAGGCTCTACGCTGAGCGCACAGATGTGTTTGTGGGGCTCTCAAACCTCCATCCATGGTGGGGTGCCCTTGTGGGAGGGCCAACAACAATGTAAACAATGAGGTACAAAGTCTTGACTTGTTTGGAAAATCTCCCCCCCCCAAGGAACTACTAAAGGGGTGTGGAATGAAGACCCAGGAAGGATAAGAGAACTTCTCTGCTCACTGGCAGGATCCCTCCATCCACTATGGTCAGCCACCTTCTCAGCTGCTGCTCTGTGCTGTTGAGAAACCGTATCAGTTCCTTCCTGTGGTGACAAACATGCCTGACAAAGGCAACTTCCAGAAGGAAGGGTTTATCTCAGGCCAGCGGTCTGAGGGTGCTGTCCGCCACACTGTGAGTCATGCTGGCAGGGACATGAGGCAGCCAGCTGCATGGCGTTCAGTCAGGAAGCAGAGACACTACCACCCTAGCTCAGCTCAGTCAAGGACTCATATTTAGAGCTCTTCTTACTCAGCCGGCCCAGTCTAGAAACCTCCCTCCCAGATGTGTCCAGGGCTATGCTTCCGTGGTGATCCTAAATTCCACTGAGTTGACGACCACAGTGTGTCTCCCATACACCCACGGTGTTACTCCCTCAAAGCATGTCAGGTTTCAGGGGAGCTGCCCGACTTCTAGGGTCAAGCCCACCAATCCAGAAGGTTGCTGTGACCATGGCCTCTGGCCACCTCGGTCTTGGCATGGAGCTGTGTCGTGGGGAACAATTTGAGGAAATTTCCTCTATGGATTCACAGTCAGAAAACACATGGAGACGTCTCACCTGGTGTATCCTAACCAGCTTTAGGACGTGGGCTGCCAAAGCTAGGGACCACATCACGTCTTAGGGTGGAATGGCTGTGTTGTAGGCCAGAGGTTTTAGGAACGGTCTCAATAGTCACCTCGCTCCGAGTGCAGGAGACAGAGTCTGGACCTAGCAACAAGAGGATGTTGTGCAGGTTTTATGACAGAAGCAAGAGTAATTTTGGAAGAGGGAGATTGGCCTGTGGGGCATTTTCTCAATTGATTGCTGATGTGAGATGATCTAGGTGACTGTGATTACCCTCAGGCTGGTGATCCTAGGTGCTGTATCGAAACACCATGGGTAGTTAGCAAGCCATGAGGAGCAAGCCAGTCAGTAGCATGGCTCCTTGGCCTCTGCATCAGCTCCTTCTTCAGGTTCCTGCCTTGAGTCTCTGCCCTGACTTCCCTGGATGATGGACCTATAAGCCATAAGGCGAAACAGACCCCTTTCTCACCTTGGTTGTTTTTTATCATGGTGTTTTTATCACAACGGTAGAAATAACAAGGCAGAAGTCCTCCTGCCCTCTCCGTGAAATAAATGCTTCTGCATTTCCCTCACAGACCCGGTACCTCTCTCCGCAAGCTCGCCGTCGGATGCACGCTCTGCTGGCCTCTTGCTCGACCTCCATGCTGATCCTGTTCAACCTGGTGTTCCTCGGGGGGATTCAAGTTGGAAAGACATACTGGTACAGGCTCTTCCTACAAGGTGGGTGCAGCCCCGCTCGCTGGCACGTTGTTATCTCCTTTGTATTTAGTTGTTGACTTGGAGGTGTTGGGGAGCAGCCATGCATGTGACACGTGATGGCACCTGCGTCAGCTGGGAGCAGCTTCTGCTCCAACTGTGACTGCAGTGTTACCCATCCATGATGCTTGACATCCAAACGCGGGGCACCCGGCTCTCCTGCACCCTCATGCCCTCCTTCGTTATGTCCCCCCAATGCTGGGATGTCTTCCTGCACTTCCCCGTTGTTTCCGGATCCCAGCCTTCAGTGTGTCACGAGGTCTAACGCAGCCCTCCCTTGTCCCATTTATGCTCTGAATTCCTGCTAGCAAAAATTTCCTGGGTCTGGTGTCCAGCTCTGGACCTGGCCATTTGTCTCTGAACATCATCACCCCGTTGTTTTGAAAAGGAAACATAGACATGTGTGCTTACGTGTGTGTGCGTGTGTGTGTGTGTGTGCATGCGTGTGTGTGTGTGTGTGTGTGTGTGTGTGTGTGTGTGTAGGTACGTGTGTTGTGGCAGAGGACAACTTTGCATGGGTCCCAGGGATCAAACTCAGGTCTCCAGGCTTGCCCAGCAAGCACCTTCACCCACTGAGCCATCTTGTTGGCCCCAACCGTGAGGTAATCTTTTGTTTCATGTGCACCGAGTAGGTGGGTTATCTGGGCATCCACAGCACAGCCACATCTGCAGCAGGTGGGATGCCAGCATGTGTGGCAGTTGTGAAAACTTTACAGTAACAGGTGGCATCATATCTGTGGTCATCACCGCGGCTTCTGAAAGGGGACAATAGAATCGTCCCTGGGTGTAGCACTGTAGCTGCTCACCGAGCTTCCAAATGAAGGCTCCTCTGTTCTCCTCCCCCCCACCTGTGCTTGGGTTTGGGGAGTCCTGGCTGAGTAGTGGCAGTGGAACCGGACTTGGCTGGCCCTGTCACCTCTGCATCAGGGTCCCCAAGGAGTCAGAGATACCTTTGCTGCAGCTCCCTTTGAACACCAGAAATGTTAGCCCAACACAGCGGCCGGATGCCTGATATCAGTCGTGGATGTAGATAGACCATGTGGCTCAGTGGGTTCACTGGGTCCCCTGTGACTTTAATCTCATCACTGTAAAAGCTCCTCTTTGACATACTTTCTGGTATGCTCAACTCATGGCTCCTGCAGAACCTGGAACACTGATGAGCACATGGAGACTCAGGGGTGGGGGGGCAGGGTGCTGGGGGGTGGGTGGGGATGCTGACCTTGGGCTCCTTGTCGCCTAAGGAGAAGGCTCTGATTTTTCACTTCAGTGAATCAAATATATCAGTTGTTTGCTATTTACAAAACACTGTGAACACAGGGATGAGAAAGGAAGCCCATTGCTGGGTGTGGTGACTCCACCCAGAATCCCAGGCTTAGTTAAAAGACTGAGGAAGAAGGTTTCTGAGTTTGCAGCCAGCCTGAGCCACATGTGAGACCCTGTATCCAATGGAGAGGGGGGAAGTAATGAAGGAAACACAGATCAGTGTGGAAGCCAAATGCATTTGTTTCCCATGCGACACTTGATTAGGGTAACTGCCGCGCAGATGTCTGTGGGAACTGCCGGAAGCCGTTACAGCAGAGTGACTGACTTTCCAGGGGGATGGTGTTTAAGATAAGCACCAAGCAAGAATTTACAAAGTCCAAGGAGGCAGGTGTGCTGGGGTGACTAACATTGGCTGCTATAGCAGAAACTCCAGATCTTGGTGAATGTTCACCATACTCATCAGGGCGGAGGAGACGGGTAAGCAGGTAGGAGTCAAACCCTTGGCTGCCATATAAAAAGCCTGTGTGACCGCACATGTTCCTGTGACTCTAGGACTGTGTTGTGGGCAGGCAGGGGAGGTGGTGTAGGGGTAGGGCAGGGGAGGTGGTAGATGCGTAAGGCTGAGATAGGAGGTCTGCTGGGCTTGCTGGCTGCCAGTCTAGCCCAGCTTCAGGTTTGTTGAGAGCCCCACATCATAGGAACGGGGCAGAGAGTGGTAGAGCTGTCCCCTGCCCTCTGCATGCATACAGAACATTCATACACTCTGCACCCACACCGCCTCCCTATGCACACAGTTTCATTTCTCTCACAGTTTACGGGAAGCCCAGTCCACGTTTTCTAAGCCGTTATTTCTAGGAGGTAGGATTCTTGATGACTGCCCACTGTCTTGTCTTAGTGTCGGGAAAGAGAAGATAAGGGAACATGAGGCCCGTGCGCCAGACACCTTAGTGGCATGTGACATTTCTGCTCATGTCCCGTTGGCCGGAACCGGTTATGTCACACTCCCGACTGCCAGGCTGGAGGTGTGGGAAGCGGGCAGGTATCACATGTATCAGACGTCTGTGTTACCTGGTGGTCACCCGGACAGAGGTGTCCCTGAAGCTGTGCAAAGTTTAGCTGAGGAAGAGGGGGAGTACTGACTGATCTGTGAGCATCAAGTGCATGGAGCCGGCGGGAGCTGGCGGCAGTGAGAAGTGGGGGCAGACCTGGGGCGTGCTGGTCCTCAAGGGGGCAGAGCAGCCCCTACAGGGTGCTCTTGCTGCTGCCCCTGGGGGTCACAAGGCTCACTGCACCACTTGCCTGGCACCCTGCCCATCTGCCAGTATGGAGGGCCGGCGATTTGCGTCCTGTGGTCTACGATAGGACATAGCGTTTCTGTCCTCCTCAATGCAGGGACTGCCACTCTTTACACAAGACTGTGAAGTCACTTCTCTTCGGGGGTTCCGAAGCCAGGGGCTCTCCAGGCAGACCTGTCTTTCTCATGAGCTGCTTGAGTCAAGGAACGTCTGCTGGGACTTTCGTCAGTTGCCCACTTTGTCATCTTCTTGTCAAGGGTTTTTTTGCCCTGATTTCCTGGGTTTAGATCTCTCGTGGAAGGAAGCCAACCAGATGGTGCCAAGTCTCCCATTCTGGTGAGCCCGACTGTCTTACGATTTAGATTGACCTGATAGAGATGGTTGTTATAAATATTCATGCTCAGGTACAAGAAATAATTAATGAGTTAGTATGCATCCTCAGATCCTACTGGGGGTGTTAATAGACCAGCATTCTAAAACTGAAAAAGAAAATCGGAGTTCTGAAGCCATCTGGCCCCCAAGGACCCCAGAAGGGCCTGTTGCCAGGTCCACGCAGCTTCTGATGAATGGGTCAGGGCTCTGGCAGCCTGACCATCTCTGACCTCTGCTTTTGGGTATAAAATCAGTTCTTGTTGCCCAAGACTCATCTCTGCACCCAGAAGAAATGGAAAAGACATGAGAGGACCTGTCTCCAGGGAACGGAGCAGCTCCAAGCCTAGCATCTAGACTTCAGGGTGTAATAGAAGTCTCCTCCCTCTGTGCTGTGATGGCTTGGGTATTGCTGCAGAGACAGAACCACTGAGTCATCCCCAGAGAACCTAGCTCAAGGAGTCAAGTCACACAGGGAAGGGACAGATAGGTGCCTAGGGGACAGGGATTATTGAGGGCTTATGAATGTCATTGCAGGAGTTTGAGGAAGCTGGTCACATTGCTGTCAAGAAGCAGAGAAAGCCGGGCGGTGGTGGCATACACCTTTAATCCCAGCACTCGGGAGGCAGAGGCAGGCGGATCTCTGTGAGTTCGAGGCCAGGCTGGACCGACAGCCTCCAAAACAATACAGAGAAACCCTGTCTCGTAAATACCAAAAAAAAAAAAAAATAAAGAAGAAGCAGAGAAAGATGAATGCTTGTATTCAAATTGTGACCTCCCGTGTATGAAGTCCAGGACCTCAGCCCATGGAAATGGCACCACCCTCCTTTAGGATGGGTCTTCCCCAGTTAGCATAATTGCCATAGTCCTTCCCAGGCACGCCAGAGGCTAACCTACTCTAAATAATATGCTTGAAGGCATGCCTCCCAGCTGATCCCAGATCCCACTGAGTTGATAATGAACAGTAACCATCAGGCTGTTGAATGACTTTCCCTGAGAAGATATGAATGAATGTCTGTTTGCCCCAGACAGGTCTTGATGGCTGACTGAAGAAATCATTCCACACAGGTCTAGTGTAGTGAATCAGTGAGTTCAAAGTGGTTCCTCATGGTGTGAGGTTACTAAGGAGCATGGAGACTCAAAGACAGCTGTGGCACTGGAATGCCCACTCCATACAGTGATGGCTGGAGTTTCCCTGGTTGACTTGCAGGCAGCTACAAAGAAGCATCACCGCCCACTGTCAACTGCTCCTGTCATCCTGGGGAGGGGCTTAGTGGCTCAACCTTCCGAGTTTCCTGAGTCTTGTGGCTCTCTGGCTCTGGAGGTCGTAGGACCCTCCCTCCAGGAGGGAGTGTTGCTGTTTGCAGTTAGCTACCCATGTCTCAGATGTTAACGCACACAGATACAAGCTTGCTAATTCTGCAGGGACATGGAAAACACAGGTGCACAGTCGCCAAATCTAAGAGAGATGGGAGCACCCAGAAGCTGGCTCACTAGCTTTTACTGCATAATAAACACTCATTGACTCCCCGGGAGTTCTTTCCCACACCGCTGATGTTCCAAGTGTCTCATGGGGTACCATGGAAGATTGATTGACCCTAAAGTCAGGACCTCCCTGTCTCCAGCGCTGACTTTGCTTTAAGCTGGCAAGTCCATCATACTGCTTCCACAGCAGCCTTGGCCCTGGACTCTGGGCGAGAGAGGAGGCTGCAGGACTAGATCTTTTCCTACTGTGTGCCTCCCCCACCCTAGTGAAGAATGGAAGGCAGACATGCCCAGAAAAAAAACCTGGGGCTTGCCAGGCATTGGTGGCACAAGTTTTTAATCCCAGCACTCGGGAGGCAGAGGCAGGAGGATCTCTGAGTTCGAGGCCAGCCCGGTCTACAGAGCAAGATCCAGGACAGCCTCCAAAACAATACAGAGAAGCCCTGTCTCGGAAAACCAAAACAACCAAACAAACAAACAAACAAAAAAATGTGGGGTTCTGGGTGAGTCATGCATGTAACTTTTTGTTGTTGTTTTTTTTCGAGACAGGGT